AAACGCCATCGTTGCGAAGTTCCCGTGAAACTTAGCCACCTGTCCCTCATGCTATTGCCGTTATTGAATGTTACACTGGCAAGGTCGTTTCCCGGATGACCAAAGGCGGCGAGGGGTGTTGGGGAACTGAGACAGACTACGAAAACTCGCCGATCAGAACCTGCTTCATGCAATCTGACAGCTGGTGTGGCAGCAGCGAGACGGCGGCTGATGAAGAGGTGCGCGATGATTGCCACGGTACTAATTGGAAAATTGGAGTTGATACTCTTTCTGAACGAAAGAGGTAGGCAGCCACGATGATAATTATGGCACGTTAGGGAGAATTAGATTGGAATTATACCGATAATAGTGGCTCAGAGTGAAAAATTTGAACATTTACTCACTCGGGCTCAAAGAGCAGAAGCTATCTCATGAGGTCGCCAGTTACCGACTGGATAATGTTGGACCCGTCGCCATGGCTATGGAATTCTGAATCGTCAAATCACGGACTCGCACTCAGTCCGGTGTTAACGTCTTGGTGAGACCTATCCTGAATGACATAATCTTTCTACGGAAGAGTATCAACTGAGATTGGCAATCCCCTGATTGAACATAGAGAATTGCTTTATCGAACCTGCCGCTGAATGCTACCTTTAAAATGGTTCCGTCTCCTGGTCAGAAACGAACTTCACGGTCGGTGGACACAAGAGGTTCAGCTGCCTGTTAGAAAGAAGAAGCACCGTTCAAGAGGTCGCTTTAAAGTAGGGAGAATTAAACTGAGAAGCGTACAAGGTGTCAATGAAATCAACTGCCAAAACGAGGGTATATTCCTGAGAAACGTTCGGTGAAGTGCTCGAGTCGAATTTCCAGCGGCAAGCACAAAGTTCCGGAAGAACCTCATCCACCTCTGAGAAAGAAATAAGCACTGTCTTAGGGTTCTGAAGGACAAGTTCGCATGCCTTCTTAGAAGAGGACATTCTGTGGCGAAGGGGAGAGTACTTTGAGCCACTTCTTAAAGCAGAGAAACCGCAGGAAGACTCGCTTGAAGAATAGCAAGCAACGGACATAGCAGTGCACGAAGTCATAGAGGCAAAGTGTCAAGCATAAAATGCTTAAAAAATGACAAAGTTGCCGAAATCGATGAAATCCTCCCAAAGATGCTTAAAGCTTTAGGCGAGAAATGCACCTTGTGCTTAACACGTGTCTTTCAAACGGCAATGGCTACAGGAAGATGCCAGTGGACCGCAGAACGGAGGGAGCAGTATCCCTCTTCCAGAAGGGAGACCACAGGTACTATTCCAAATTACCTAATCCCATCTCGAGAAAATTCTAAGCAAGGGTATCGGAAGGAAGCGCTGCAGAATGGTTGACTGTAACATTCAAGCCATCATGACTCTAAAATTTTGCCACCTGCCACTCATGGTATTGACGCCATCGAAAATTACACCAGATCAGTTGTCGCCCGGGTTACCAAGCGCCGCGCAGGTTGTTGACGGACTGAGGCACACTGCGAAAAGTCAGCGATCAGAACCTGCTCATTGCCCTCTGCCAGCCGGGGGCGTAGAAGCACAGCAACGGCTGACGAATCAGCTGAGGCTGATCTCTCTCTGACTTGACCTTTGCCATTGCTGCATATCCCCACTGCACTTCTGATCAACCTGTGAGCGAGATCGTAGTAGAAAATAGCCCGCCAACCAGGCTCTGCGTTGGTGTAAACAACTGCGAGTCTCGAGTTCACAACAAAAAGGATGCGTTTTTATGGGGGGATGAAGCATACAGATTTATGGAAAATCCATTCAACTCTGAGACGGATGTCGCCGATTCCTCAACGCATAACGGATTGCGGAAACCAACAACGTCTACCTTGAAGAAGGCCTGTTGGTCACGAGCTGAAACGCCGATACCGCCGTTGCCGGTCCCGAGCCCGGTCGAAAAAGGAGGAGGGTTGGAGACGCTGGCGAAGTCTTCGTAAAATTTCGCCACCTGTCCTTCATGGTACTAAAGTCATCGATAATTATACCGGGTAGGATGTCACCCGGGTAACCAAGGGCTGCGCAGGCTATCGGAGGACTGAGACAGACTGCCAAACGTCGGCG